CACTGGAAAGCTTGCGTTGTAAACCCCAAATAGGCTTGTAACCCTATAAACGTCAGACAAAAGAGCGTAAGCGTCGTGGCGCACATTCGAACATGCAGCGATAACATGTGAGCAAGGGACACGAAATGCTTGAAACTTTCCGCAGTCACACCACCCGTTCAAGAGGTCGACCTTATAATGTCCCATAGGTTTCCCCTCACCATGGTCCATTGTCTCTTGCACACTGAAAACATTGTTCCTGTAGTCAAAAATTTTGACTTGATGTGTGCTGGATTTTGTTGTTTCTTCTTTCATAACCTTGAGGCAGTTGTCTGTAAATGCTTGGCCAGAATTCAACACAGCACTCCACTTTCCACCCCTTTCAGCAAATAAAGATCCTAGTCTATAATACGTTGCCCTTACCAATGCTGTAATGGGAAAATTACGTGTGCCCTTAAAGACGACATTCATTGACTCGACAAGGTTGGTAGTCATGTGACCCCAACGTCGACCGCCGTCAAATGCCCTTGTCCATTTTTCGGCTGGAATACTGTCAATCCACCTTAAAGCATCTGCATTTGCCATGCCAATCTCTGACCGATAGTAATGAAATGTTGGCTGGTTTAAAGCGTATCCTGAATAATTAAAATATCAAATTAAAATATTGACAAAATAATATATGTTATTGACAAAATTTAATGAATATTAAGAAATATAGTTACCCATGTGAATTATTTTTTTCCGTAGGTTCCTGTCCTTGATTTCTCTCATAAAGTTTTGTGCAATGTGTCGGATACAATAAACATGCACTGAAGGGGGATTGTGCCAACCATTTTCTGCATTGTTGTATGCACTTTCAATTGATGCATGTCGGTCTGAAATTAAACATAGATCTGGTTGTGGGGCGACATGCCTCCTTAAGTTTCTCAGAAAAAAAACCCTAGCCTTCAGCGGTTTCATCTTCCACAAGGGCAAAAGCAACCGGAAATATGTTGTTGTTCCCATCTTGTGCCACTGCGATAAGCAGTATACCCTTGTACTTACCGTATAACCAGGTTCCATCAATTTGAAGTATAGGTTTGCAATAGGCAAAACCTCTGATGCATGGTTGGAATGCCCAGAATAGCCGGTGGAAGATGTGTTTCCCTTCAACAATAGTTTCGTCAGATGTATGCATGGGTAGTGTTTCTATTTCCAGCACAGTGCCCGGAACATATTTTTTAAGTGCTAATAGAAAATGTGGAAGTTCATTGTACGAGCTTTCCCAGTTACCGTAGACTTGTTCAATTGCCTTATTTCTTGCTATCCATGTCTTTCTGTAAGACGGAGTAAAATTGAATTCAGAAACAATTTTACTTATGCAAACACTAACCTTAATAGAAGGATCTTTGTCTACAAAAGGCATTAATTTTTGAGACATTAACTGCGAGGTTAGTTTTTGATGATCCTGATTAAGCAAAGTTGTTGAACAACTATGGGGTGAGTTCATAATGCCTATCTCCCACAACTCACTTCTTTTTCGGTAGGACGTCACGAGACGAAACTTGCAGGAATCATTCCTGCAACAAATTATGTATCTCTTCTTGTCGGAATCTATCACTTTTTAATCCACACAGTGTTTCATGTGGTATTGCTTAATGGAAGCGACACAGTCAGCTTTATTTTTAAATTGGTAACCGACTTCTATGTCACCTTCCGCGGGAAAACGAGGATTCCGTGGCCAATCAAATGACGTTCCTTCTACGCTTAGTGGCAGGGTTGTCATATGCGCTGGTGGGATGAATACATTTTCAACTGGAACACATTGATCATCTATGTTGACTTCGTTCCCTTCCTCAAACAAGGTAGTATATAAATCATCAACTTGTGCCTCGTTTTCTTCTTCGCCGTCTCCTGCTTCAACATCTTCGTGTGGAATTATGGATGGATTGATCACCTGAGAAGTCTGTGTTTCTTGAACTTATGCAAATGTTATATATAAATCAATGTGCTGAAACCCACAACATTCATGATTTGAGAACATCGTTTCAACATCCTCGTCGTCACGAATCTTCAGTGGAACAAATTTAAAGTGATTGTCGCCGAAATGGACGGCATTTTTGTACGTCATTTGTGACACTGATCCAGCTTGCACCTTCATCTGTACTCTTTCTTTAAAATGTTGGAATAATGATCTTCTATTAACAGCGAAATGAATTACGTCAGTGTTTTCAAAAATCAAACCCACTTCATCTGATACAACAACACTTCCATTGAAATGGGCATTAACAATATATTGTTGAGTACTAGACATTATGTAAGATGAAGTGGAGATAGTAGTAGAATTTGGCTCGTAGTATATTAATATATTTGAGTAGTGGTGGTAGAATGTGGATATAGTAGAATTTGAGATATTACTAGCAGATAAAAATTATTTGAGTAGAATTTGAGATAGTAGTAGCAGAAAAAAAATTGTTTGAGTAGAATTTGAGATAGTAGAATTGGAGTAGTAGAGGTAGAAGAAAAATATTTTGTATGACTAGATTTTATAAGAAGGAAATAGTAGAACCAGCCATGCAGTCACGTGAAAGTAAAATAAACTTAGCCACCCATTGAATGGGCGGTGGTCAAAGTCATTACACTCAACCGCCCTTTGCAAATACGGTTGTCTGAAAAGCATTTACTATGTCTGAACTCAACCGCCCATTAATGGTACGGGTGTCAGCTAAAAATACACACAACCGCCCTTTGAAACTGCGGGTGTCAGCTAAAAAGACACACAGCCGCCCATTCAATAGGCGGTGGTCAAACACTTTAATACTCTGCGCCCATGCAGCAGGACACATACCCATGCATGCAAAAATTCAAACTCTATGCATGCAGAAATTAATTACCTTTTAATTTTATACCAACACACAATTAATTACCTCCTACATATTTACCTATTTATCTCTTACAATTATCTCTTACAATTATAATTCTCTCCTACAACTTCAAACACATTTATCTCTTACAATTATAATTCTCTCTTACAATTATAATTCTCTCCTACAACTTCAAACACATTTATCTCTTACAATTATAATTATCTCTTACAATTATAATTCTCTCCATCAACTTCAAACAACTTCTACAACTAAATTCCATTCTCAAAAATGGTTTTACTTACCTTAGGAGATGATCACCGTGGTACAATTGAAAACATTGCAAATTATGTAAGTTAACTTATATTTATTTAAACTTAGTTATGTTATATTCTAATAATGTTACACACCATAACTATGTTACTATATTCTATTAATTTATTTATGATGTTACTTATGGTGTTACTTATTTTTTATTTTGTAGGATGAAAAAAATTTCAAACCACGCTCTCATAAGTTTATAGAACCTGATGAGGTTATCCTACCGTATTTGATTCAAGCGGGTTTCGGTCACGTCATCAAGATAACATCATACGGGATTGATCGTAAATTTCTTCTCGCGTTGTGCGAAAGATGGCGACCCGAAACCCACACTTTTCATCTTCCCACGGGGGAATGCACAGTGACACTTGAGGATGTCCATATGTTGTTGGGTCTCCGTGTCAATGGCTCAGCGGTTGTGGGTAGCACAAATGTTAACTATGAATTAGTGGAACAGCTATTGGGGGTGCCTTTAGAACGAGGTGATAGGAAGGGCCAAAGCCTTAAAATCACTTGGCTAAAAAGAATTTATGGTAACTTGAACATAACTAATGAGTCTCCCGAGGAACAAAAAATTTATAAGACTAGAATTTATTTACTTTTGCTTTTTGGGTGTTTTTTATTTCCGGATACTAATGGTAATACTATACATCTTCAATATTTACCATTATTAGAAGATTTAAGAGAAGTGAGTAATTATAGTTGGGGCGCTGCTACATTAGCGCATCTATACAGAAATTTGTGTAGATGCGCAATGAAAAATGTGCATAATTTTGCTGGTTGTGGTGTTTTGATTCAAGCCTGGGGATGGTCCAGAATGCCCAGACTGTCACCGATCAACCCCAATCCATTTCACTTTCCATACGCAACCAAGTAAGTATACAAAGTTTATGTATATATTATTTTCTTCTCTAATTTTTACTAACTGTTTCTTTTATAGGTGGTCCGCGTATGGGATGAATTACGAAAAAACTCCGCATCATTGTGCTCTTGGGTATCAGACGTTCTTCGATCATTTTGAGGAAGATGATGTATTGTTTCTAATCCCTTATTTTATTGCTAGCACTTTCCATATTTTTTCCTCTAATCCCTTTTTAATTATGTTATAGTTTCGATGGAGACCCTATCTTGAACTTGAAGATGAGGATCCAACTGAAAGCGATATGTGGAGTTCTACAATATTCATAATTTCTTTCACTATTGTTGAAATGCATCATTCAGATAGGGTGAAACTCCAATTCGGAATTAAACAAGACATTCCTGGTCCACCTACATGCATGGATAGGTACCACAAGAGTGCAACGAACGACCAATGGAAATTCGATGATTGGAGAGACCATGACAGACAAGAACGACAACAATGGATGAATCGTCGCCGCACTGTTCTACGAGGAAATGTCATGGAGAAGTAGAGAATACATGAGTTGGTATAGATTTGTGACCAATTTGTATCTATCACAAAATAGATACTTGTGGGACCCTCGAAACCAACCAACTTCATCAAACTTCCAAAACACCCCCTCCATGACTTATGACACCCAACCACCAATATTTAACACCCCATAACCAATATTTAACACCCCACAACAAATATTTAACACCCCATTCAACCCAAACCCAACACAACCACCTTATACCCCAAGCCAACACTACAATCAACCTTACACATCATTTAACTCAAACCCCTTCAACATCCAACAACAAAACCCAATCTCATCATACCCCCAATATAACTAATTCCCATTCTCTCAACCTACCCAACAAGAACACAACTACCAAACACCCCAACCACAAGTTCCTTTTTACCCTTCACAAAACTTCACCCTTTCTCAAGATCAACATCCATACACCCCCTACATGACTAACGCGGCGCCACCTATAAACCCACCAACTTGGAATAACGAGGATACAAGATTAAGTTATGGAAGTGCGGCAGCGATACCATGTGACGACGATTTCAATGATGATTTGGTCGCTCAATTCATGAACCCTAACAATGATGCAGGTCCATCTACGCAGACCCATAACGCTGAGGTTGATCGTAGAAGGTCCACCAGAAATGTACAAGCTCCTGCCTGTAGAACCCACCAACGCTTACGTCGACCGAGCCAAAATTAATTTTTAGTTCATTTATTTTTATGTACTATTTTTATTTCAAGAATAAATAAATTTTTATTTTAGTTTAATTATTGTATTATATTTCACTGTATTAATTTATTTTAATTAGTACTATTTTTAAAATAATTATATCTATTTTACTTTTATTTTAATTTACTATAATTATCTATTTAATAATTATTAACTAAATATAATAAACATAATAAACAAAAAATAATATAATAAATATAATATTATCTATTTAATAATTATTTTATTTTAAAATTTATTATTTATAATTACGTAATTATTTTTATTTTAATATTATCTATTTATAATTATTTTAAAAATAATTATTTATATAATTAAAAAAATGAAAAAAAATTCCGACCCTTTACCCCTAAATGGATGGGCGGTTCCCATCAAAGAATATCACACTGCCGCCCAATGGATGGGCGGATATGTTGTGCCAAAAAATGAATTTTTTTGAAAAGATGGCATTTTGGAATTTAATTATAAAAGTGTGGCATTTTATAGTTTAAGTTATAATACTATGGCAGGAATATAAAAAATTCACCAAGTTATATAGATAAGAAACATTAGGTTAATATATTATAATAACTTGTGTTAATAAATTTATTACATATTAACAGTGTTACATATTAACAGTGTTACATATTAACAGTCTTAAGAGGCTGGAGAGAGCGGAAGGGAAGAAACTATTGCGTTTGAGAAGAGAGCACAACGATATTGTCAGATCCATTGAAAAGAACAAGAATGATGGATAGGAAATTGTTTCATTGATAGCATATAATAAAGTATCTTGTACACGTTAACTACTTACTGACACCTTGTATGATCCATAAAGAATTATGCAATAGTATATCATACTATATAGGGTCTGAATGTCTGTATCAGATTTAGTCTTCAGCAATCTGATTCCTTTGTCATTCAATTTTTGATTGATGGATTTTAATCAGTAGTATATCATAGTATATAGGGTCTGAATGTGTGTATATCATAGTATATCGTTGAAAAATGGTTGCCCCTCATTAATCATGCATTTGAAAATTATCTTTTGAAAGTTTATATGTCTGTAAAATATCGATAACACATTAAGAGTTTGTTTGTTTTAATTTTTTAAAAATGATTTTTATAATATAGTAAAATTTTATATAAAAAAATTATAAAATTCTTTTTTTTTTATAAAAACTTTAAATAAAAACTTATTTTGAATATTATTTTTAAAATATAATTTTTGATATTTTTTCATTGTATTGAAAAAAAAAGTGAATATCAAAATTTCAAAAATTCACCTGATTGATAAGCTATTTTAAATAGCTTTTCATAAAAATTATTTTTGAAATACAATTTTAAAAAAAATTGTGATTTCGACTATATTTTAATTTTCAATAATGTATGTTTATGTTACAGAATGTCAAAATTAAACTTTTCATTTAAAAAGAAAAATAATATAAAAAAATTTATAATATTTTAAAAAACAATTTTATAAAATCCATCTTTAAAAATAGAAAGAAAAATATCTATTTTTTAAAGCTGAAACAAATAGGCCTTAAATAATATAATTTAGATGAGTTAATATCTCAATCATAACATTTGTTAGATGATCAAGTTTTTTAAACTCTCATCTAGATGAGTTAACTAACTTATATATCCCAAGTTTTTTAAACTCTCATCTAGATGAGTTAACTAACTTATATATCCTAACATTTTTTACATGATCAACTTTTTAAACTATCTCATTCATATGAGTTAACTTCTAGATCATAACATTTTTTACATGATCATTTTCTTTAACCCTCTCATTCAAGATTCTGGATCATATTTTTTTAAACTCTCTAAAAAGATTCTTTTATATTAAATTTAATTATATAAATTGATTTTAATCAATATCATCAAATAATATATCAACCTATCTCCATTTCTTTCCTTCTTTTACATTTTTCTACTGTCCGTGCCTTATTTTCTTTGCTTCAATGTTTGTAACCACCGTTTTCAGATTCTTATGTGCAATCATCCAGCGATATATATTCTTCTCATTCTCTTTAAGTTCAATCCGTGATTTATAATAAAATATATTAATAATAATAATAATAATAATAATAATAATAATAAATAAAAAAACACGTCAACTTAAACGAATTACTAAAGATATTCACTTAAGTTCATCTCAAAAACAAATAGAAACCTTTATCATTTATGGAGAGTTTGAGAACTTTCATTGCATCTTCCTCTTTTGTAATATTTTTTTTCGTAATTTCTCCATTTTATCTATTTTTTATTCATAATTTTCTCTGCACAGCTCAAAATAAAGATTGCAGAAGTGGCAATTACTAATAAAAAATTTTCAATTAAAATTAATATGCAAATACGAAATGAAAAATATCGTACCCCCAATTTCCAAAGCATTGTCTTTTTCTATAACCTATTATGTCAGCATGGTTCTTTCTAAAAGTTAAAAAATATGATACTCTAAAATTTAATGTATTAAAATAAAATTATTATTATTATTATTATTATTATTATTATTATTATTATTATTATTATTATTATTATTATTTTGGACTGGGTCGAGGCTTAACCCACAATCGAACATGCCTAAACTCCGTTGGGGTTGGGCCTAATAAGACCACGCGGACGAACGGTGACCCGAGGACACAACACTCTTCCGAGCAGGCTGAAGGTCCTCATCTGAAAGACAGGACCCTCACGTCCGACCAGACGGTCACCTTTGCCCAGAGAACTCCTCAAGGCTCTCACACGTTCTCCACGCGTCCCTCACGCAGGGACCCGTCATAAGGTAACTACCAACATCCTGAAGATCCGATCTTCCTCCTTCCGGATAGTGCGGAGTAGTTACACTAGGGCGAAGACCACGTGCTGGTTTTCACGATGCCACATCAGCCCTAGCAGTTGCCAACATTGGGCCTGGCAGCCCAGCCCAGTGCTAGGTAACCATTGGCCCTGCGCTGGGGGCTCACTATAAATACCCTATTCACTAGAGGGTCGGGTAACTTAACTCTTACACTATCTCTTTGTACTTGCTTCCACTCTGTCCGTCTCTTACTTTGGCATCGAAGTGTGTTTCAGGTACACCTCTTCCTTCTCAACATATTGGTGAGCAGCACTCAAGTCTCCGACGTGTTGTAGATCGTCGATTCCTTCTGGTCAGGTACGATCAGTGGCGCCGTCTGTGGGAACATAAACTTCCCTGTTCCTCCGAGCAGAAAACCAAAGTTTCACATCAACACTTCAGGATCATGACTAGCTCACACCACGACGACGCTGTCCACAACTCAGCCCACGTCTCCGTCACCAACGGCGATAATCAGGTGGGAACGTCCCAACTCCGCGAGACCGACACCAGGGACGGTCAGACTGCTTCCCCCTCTTCTGAGGAAGTGCTGCTCCAGGTCGTTACTCGGGAAAGGAGCCCAGAAGTGTTCCGTCCAATCCCCACGCCGACGGGGGCGGACCCTACGATGGCCGCCCTCCTCGCGGTCATCAACCAGACAGATCAAATGTTGTTCCGGCAGAACGAGCGCATAGGCGCGCTGGAACACGACGCCCCATCCCGCTCCCTTCCGCGGGAAGATCAGCACGGGAACTCAAGGAGACCATCACCTCGGCCTCGGAGTCGCCGACCGCAGCTAGAGCGGCCCCAGGCCGTAGTCTCCAGAAAACATGCAAGATCGCCGCCCAGGAAAGAGAGGCGAACCCAAGATCCGAGGACGACGAGGCCGGAACCCCCGGTTAGGCAGCCGAGGGTACAAAATCAACCCCCTCCTCGGCACGGGCCTTCACCCTCAACGTCTCCGATTCTCAGTGACGAGTGTTGCACCCCAAAATTTGACCAACAATTATTTATTCATTGAGTGTTTGAAAATGGATACCTTCATCAGAAAGTTCAAGAGATCCTCAGAGGAAGTGGATTGAAACCAGGGTTGTGTGCTTCATAGCTTGAGAGTTGTGGGTGCTCCTCAGATGATTCTGAGACTTTGAGAATGAACTTGATGTTTTGAGAAAGCCTATGAGATGTCTTGATAGCCATCATAAAGCCCAGAGAGGTCATTATGCAAGAATTCAGAAAATTCAACCATGAATGGTAGAATTAGGGTTTTGACTGGGTCAACCCTAGGATAACTGAAAATTTGGAGAAGATTGAGACCTAATCCAAGGGCCATGAGATCATGGAATGATGCATAGAGATGTTATAAGGATGATTCCTAGACCAACTCATCATGATTGAAGAGTTTGAAAAGTTTTGAGTTAGGGTTTCTGAGGATTGTCAGTGAAAAACCCTAATTTGATCCCTATCTTCCAGGCAGTTTTAGCTCAATATGTGATTGATATCTCATCTTCCCCACAACATGAATGTTGTAGAGCTTGTTATTAGCTTTAATTTGAGTGGTGGAAGTCCTTGATAGGAGTTGCAGAGCTCAAGTTATGGTTTTGACAAATTACAGGTCAGCTGAGGTGTGTGAATCTGGGTCCTTGAAAGTCACCCAACTTCCAGACAACTTTTTCCCTAGTAGTATGATTCCTATGATTTCTTGGTCAACATGAATGTTGAAGAGCATCTTCTTAGCTTTCTAGAGAGTACTAGAAGTCCTTGATAGGATTTGTAGAACTCAACTTATGGTTTGAACAAGATAGGGGTATTTTGGTCATTTGTCAGTTATAGGTCATTTTAAGCAAAGGCCATATCTCCTATTTCCAAGCCTCAAATGGAAAAACTAAAAACATGAAAGTTGTTCAAAATTTGATTTTAAGTCTAGAAAGAAGGTCATGAATTGTTGGAAAAGCTCATAGCATGGATTTGCATGATTGGTCAAAAATGAACTAAAAATGGCTTATAAGTTTAAAAAGTTGAAATTGGAAATTGGTTTGGAGGATCTAGGAATCCAAAATAGGTCATCCAATATATCATTTTGATTGGAAACATCATTTTGAGAACAATGGTTCAAATATAATTTTGATTTGAAGCTTTAAAATGGGAC